TTACATCCCCTTAAGCTATTAAAAAAAATCATAACAAAGCGGGCTAATTCTGTACCCAGCAGTGAACGGATTGGGCTGCCGTGCTGCGCGGTGATATATTGGTCCGCGCTGTGTTTGTTGTTCGGTTTCTTGCGGGTCCCGGTGATTTTTGTCAAACCAGTGCTGCCTCTGGCCTTCCCCAGCCCCCGTCCCGGCCGGGCAGCAGCAATCCGAGCGTTGTGCGGAGAGGAAGGGGCACGGGAGAGACCCCCCACACACACACACACACACACAACACACACACACTCCCCCGTCGCTTTCCGCATCCAGTACAAGTCCAAACCTCGAAAGTTATTTCATCCATGCAGACGACGGGTGCTTTTGCTCAAGTCGTCTTCGCTGTGATACTGGCCGCCGGATTGCCTGAGGTCAGGACCGGCACGCCTCCGGAGGCAATTTCTAAGTAACGGTGAGCCTGTTAGGAGACTCTGCTAATTGGGATTCGCAGAGATTCGCAAATACCCGAGATCAAACCCTGCTGGAAATCGTTTGGAATGCGCGATGTCACGTTTCATTTCCAGAACTCCACGAGCCACCAAAAAACTTAGGCCTGGCCTCTTTTACACCAGACCTTCTGTTATCATAATTGCTGTGTAAACAGGACTAAAGCCTGCAGGTCTCGTGTCCTTATTAACCTAAACGTTTTCAAACTTTTTTTCCCCCTGCCGTTTCCGATACAGCGGAGTTCATTGTGAGGGACGGTGTCTCTCATTTCCAGATTTAAAATCGTAGTTAATGGATTCTAGTCTGAATCCAAGACGCACTTTTGTTAACGAATGAAATAATCACATTCGGAGAACAGCAGCAGAGCAGGCCGCTCAGGAAAACGTAAAATGAGTGTTGTTCTATCGCGGGACGTGTATAACATTATCTTCCAGGCTTTGAATTGGTGAGCCTCTGGCAAGGCCCGCCGGCTCGTGGCCAGCTCGTTTCGCGCGAGCACTGTCCCTCTGAATGAACTGTCCAGCACGTCTCATACAGGCGACATACAGACTAGAGGCCCGGGGGGTTGGATTCAACTCCAGGGTTTACTGAGACAGTTGGATACTTCGACCACTGTGGATTTGGATCAAAGGCGTTTCTAGCTCACTGTTTTTGTGCAAACTGTCTCTATTAGGGGCTATCCGAACTACTTTACAGTACTGTCCTCTTCAGCCTGACAGTCTCTTCCATAATTAAGTTTTAGTGAATATACCATGTTCTCTTTGGAACCTGAACCGCATACCATATTATTTCGTTTTGGGCTGAAACAGATTCTGGAACCGACGTCGGTGCCGCAATTATTATTTAGGTCCATTATGGCTTTTGCACACCGCTCGTAACCGTAGCAGACTAAAGACGTTTGATTTATAATTTATGGCACGGAGCGGACAAAACTGAGACTAAGTGAAAATTGCATTTGCTCACACCACGCAAGAGACACGCACGGGACGCAATCCATTTAAAATGTGGCAGGAGACTTAAATCTTGAACTGGGTGGGGAGGGCGGGTGTGATTTAAAAGTCTATTTAAACGGGAGAGGACTGCGTGAAACTCGCCAGAGCCCCATAAACCCGTTTAAAAGCTGTTATTTTATGTACACGATAACAGCGTTTCCTTTTCCTTCCTGCGTGGGTGATTTCGTCTTAAAAGTACACTTCAAGAAGTGTCACGGAAGGCCGAGTTTTGTCGCCCAACTGTCAGAAACCGCCTTTGAGGGAGACCTTTCTCTGTGCGTGTTTTTTTCCTTCTTCCCCGACTCTTCTTCTCAGACGTTGGTGGAAATCTAACCAGATGCTTAGCAGATGAATGAAAGGGCCCCGGCGCACACACGAGCACGCACACTTTTCAAACAGACACGCGCCCGCGGGACTGAATGGAGTGTGTGTGTGGGGAGGGGGGGATAGGTTCACAAAAAGAGGGAGAGAGACAGAAATGCAGGGGCGCGAAGACGGTTGTGTGTTCATCTCTTATCTGTTATTCTTCCCCAGAACAACACATGTCATCGAGGGGTCCTGCAGTCAGAGAAAGAGCTCCCCAGACGCTCGCTGGCAGCTGTCGCCGAGCGCCTGTGACAGGGCCGTCCGCGGCCCGCCCGGCCCCACTCCGCCGGTTTTACATGAGAAGTAACCCATATGCACGGGGACGCCTGGTATTGATCCCAGATTTCTGCTGGAACGTTTACACAATACACGCCGCCGGAATACCAATAGCAGAAAGGGTGGTGATGTTATTGTGGGTTTTTTCCTTTGTGCGTTTGTGTGCGTAGGCTTCAGCATTTGTGCGTGTGCATGCATAGGCTGCGACACGTGTGTGTATCCGTGTAGGGTGTGGTATTGGTGTGTATGTGTGTAGGTTATAGCTACTTGGTACATGTAAGGATATCCTGTGATAGTCCCAGTGTATGTGTGTCGGGTGTATCCCTAAGTATGTGTAACAGCCTCTGTGTGCTTCGGGACAGGTGCAGGAAGAGAAGAGTGGAGAGGGATGAACTGTGAATGAAGGTTATAGAGGCAGGTTGGAGATGGGATTGTGTCTGTGGGCGGACTACAGCAGAGCGTCTTGTACTGCGCTGCGCATATGCGGATGCTTCTTCCTTTGCAATGCAGTATTGCAATGCTGAACGTCCCCAACCTGTCTAAAGGTGAGGCACAGGCGCCCAGCTCGCCTTGGTGACCCTCCACGAAATCTGCGATGACCCCTCAACCCCCCCTCGCCCACGCGCCCCGTGGAGAAACCTCCTGTCGCACCCAACCGCCGGTGCTTGAATCCAGTCACACTATCGAGCCGGTCACATATATGGGGTGACGGTCTCTGATCAAGATTTGTTTTAATTAATAATAACGTCAGGGTGTTTGTATCTACATATAGATATATCAGACACAAACTAACACAAAAACATGGACTAACTAAACGGCGATTTGTTCATTTGAAAACAAACGATATGAAAGCATCATATTGGTTTTTATATTAAGTAATGGTATAATTTAACATTTCGGTGTCTTACGTATTTAATACCCAACATTATTGCATCATTAAGATGATTTTGCCTTTAGTATTCGTGTTTTCAGAGTGTCCTCTCTGCTGACGAGAAGCAAGAATGTTTATTCCCAGCCTCAACAGAATCTGTCTGGAGAATGCCCTTTACATGCACAGACAATAACCCGTCACTGACAAACTGTCACACCACTCACGGAAAGTTTGGAAAACAAAGTTGTGACTGTCGTTAGACATTTGTCCAGGCGTTTATCCACGACAATAACCACAACAGTAATTAATTTTCTTCATACACATATTTTCACACACATATATAGGCACCGCGGATTTTCATTTTTAATATAGTAAATGCAAAGTATTCTAAATTATTCATAAATAGGTGCAGATAATCTCTTTATCCAAACCAACTCCCGTACTGGTCCCTGTTATTTTAAACCTTAAGCATTCGATATCGAGTCGTTTAAAAATTCGTTTCAAATGTGTGTGTTTATTTCATCTATGTATATTTTTTCGAATTGTTTGACAATAATTGTATCGGTGCAATTAAGAGTCGAGTACAATAGAGTGCTGTTGATTATGAATTCTTGGAAAACGAATTATTAAATTAAAAATAAGAGTGACAGTTCTTATTTTGAAATTCAAAATAAAACATTTCCTATTTTCCTCTGTGCTGCAAATGAATAAGAACGGTTATAGGCACATTTGTATTTGAAATCGACTGTACTTTCTGCAGACCTGTAACTAAACTCAAGTTTACTAATCTAACCTTTTTACTCATGTCGAATATATCTTTGCCTGTTCAGACAGCATCGCGGCGGCTTGACCGCGGATGTGTATTGGTGAAGTGGTTTAAAAGTCCGTATTAAACATCCAAAGGTGCCGGGCCCATAAGCATGTGCCAAAACCATCAAAGCACCTGAAAACTTTCGTGCTGTTTCGTCTTTCACTTTCTCCTCTTCCAAAACCACCAAACGCAGAGCCCTGCTGCGGCTGAATAAACCACCTACCTTCATTAAGACAGAGCACTGTGGGCTCGCTACATTTACTGTCATATTCGGTTGTTAGGAATTGCAATTAAAGACACCCCCACCTTATAATAAGATGTGTCTTGTTCTTTCACAAAAAAAATAATGATTTTTAATAAAAAAATGAAGAGTTCGTCCGGAATCCAAACTTAAGTACTTACCTCTCTGCGAGTTTTCCTGAGAAGACAGTAGACCTCAGTTTGCGGAGATAATTCCCAAAACGGTTATCGACTCCTCACCCAGCGTGTCTACCGACTACGTCTTGAGCAAAGCGCCTCCTGTGCTCCGGTGTTCAGACCCGTCCCGGCCGGTGTCGCGCCTGGACCGCCGGAGTTACCGGGTCCAGCTACTCGGCTACCGCGTGCCACCTGCGCGGGACCTGCTCGCGCGGCGCGCGCGGCGACAGGCTCTCCCGTCATATTGCCGAGGCGCTATCGATACAGGACTCCGCGCACCCCTCCTGTAATCGCGTCATGGACCGAGGAAAAGCGGAAACGCCTTGGCATCATGCATGTAGTGGCGCGTTCAAGAAAGTACAATTTAGGTTCTTCTGGGATTTTTTTTTTAACCAAAAAGTCACGCACACCGGCCTAGGACTGCAAGCTTTTTAATACTACAGCACTCCGGAAATATAAAAGTACATCTGCCTGCTTTAATTGAATCCCGCAAGTCCATTAAGATACGTTACAGGGTACAATTTTATTTCCATCTTTTTTTGTACCTCTGAACTGGCTCTGTGCATGGAGCATACCCACCACATAAACTAGCGTATGACAGTTTCTATGAATTTTTTGACAATTGGTTTGTTCTGTTCCCTATAAATAGTACAGTGTGTATATCGGCAGAGTTCCGAGAGGATAGTTAATGGTTACTTGGACGGCGAGGCGCTGATTGGCTTCGGCCCCAGGTGACGTCAGGAAGCTGTGAATAAGGCTGGCTCGTGTGCTTTCAGGAACATGCAGAATACTGAGGGCTGGACGAGGAGCGTCAATCCTGCCGTGATATGACACTCTTTCAACACTAGCAGAAGCACCGTGTCCTAGACCTGGCACGACAGAGGGCAAGACGCAGGCTGGAGCACGCAGATCGGTGGCGTTCCTGTTTATCCTCTTTCTGACCAAAACAACGAACCCATCTCGTTACCAAGAGAGGGAAACGATCATGACAAAGTGTATCACTACGACAGCAGACACGTTTCTCCTGCTGTTCATCAGTGCTGTTGCCCCAAAACAGTTTTCTTAGATGCATCTTAAAGCTGGTCTCAGAAAAGACGGCCACTCGTCAGCACTGCACCTTGGCAACGGTGAAGCGCAGGTAGGCAATGGTGCTTTTAATTTTACCGGCGGTTTTTCTGGTGATTTGATTTTTTAATTTTTTTTAAAACATTTTTTTTTTGAATGGAAGAGGAACCAAAAGATTGCTCCCCGTGGCTTTAAAGGTGTGCGCTGCTCTGCTACCTCAGACCCGAGAGAACTCATCACACCTCTCTCTCTCTTTTTTTTCCCCCTCCTTCTCCTGCTTGTGGAATCTACGGATCTGTTCTTGGGCTACAAGGCGAGAGTGGCTGCTATTTCGGTCTCCTTTTCTGTTTTACATCTCTCGACCCAAGGACCTCACCGCGCAGAAGACCCCAAAGCCGCTCCGCGAAACCCGAGCTTGTTCTGAAAAACAAACAAAACAAACAAACAAACTAACTACCAGACAAACCAGCCAACCAAGAATTAGAAGACATAACCCAGGCGAGAGAAGTGCCGCGGCGGTGTTGTGGGGGCAAGTCGAAAGACGATGGTGCACTGTGCGGGCTGCGAGAGGCCTATACTGGATAGGTTCCTGCTCAATGTCCTGGACAGAGCCTGGCACGTCAAGTGTGTTCTGTGCTGCGAGTGCAAATGCAATTTAACAGAGAAGTGCTTTTCTCGGGAAGGGAAGCTCTACTGCAAAAACGACTTCTTTAGGTAAGCAACGCGGGCGGAGAGCGGCCTCCCGGCGTGCTGCTCTGCGGCCGGCTCAGCCCCGTCCCTCTCCGGGTCTCTACACACCTCCTCCTTGTAGTCTTGTTTGTTTGTCGTTTCGTTTTCGTTTTCGACGCGTTTGCCATACCTACAAAAAAAAAAAAAGGCAACACAACTCGAGAGTTTGAAACCCGCGCACTCTGCTGCTCTTGGCTGTGTGTTTGTATTTCGAGACACACCGGGCGCTGCGATAGAAGAGTCTGTTCTTGCCTTGTCGTTATCTTCTGCGGGCACACAGTTATAAAATTCAAATAGGACCCCTGCTGCAGTAAAGGTGTTTTTTTTTAAAGCAAATCGCAGTGAGGTTATTAAGCACAGAATGAACATTTCGGTTCTGTAAACTGAATTCGGGGAATTCGCGCTCAGCACAGACTCTGGAGATCTCAAGTTCTCAGCACCCGAGTCTTTTTTCTTTTAAATTCCTCGCTTATGAAAGTAACACACAACAAAACAATTTGGGGTTATTTGAAATTACTGTATGGTGTCACTTCAAATCAAATCGGGTTTAAGGCCTTCTATATATTATGCGATGTTTAAGGTATTTATTTAATTTTAAATATTATTTTGACTATAATTGAGCGACTTTTTATTTTGTGTGTGTGTGTGGTTTTAAATATTTCGCTGGGGTGCAGAAATTAAATTTAATATTAAATCGGAAACGATTACAAAATGACTTCAGGATACGGTCTTTTGTTTTGTTTTACTCGATTTAGGAATTAAGCTCATCTTTATTCCGGAGCCGGTTCTGCTCTTGTCCCCTGCCTTGCCATCTTTAAATCTGACCTGAATTGTTTTCGTTTTACACGGATCGGATTCGAGCTGAAGAGCGTCTTAAAAGGCAACGCAACTTTTCACACATTTGCAAAAAAACGCAACGCAAATATTCCTCCCCGAATGACGTGGAAGTCTGCTTTCGGGGGGCAAATCAACATCCCCCCCTGATTAAGTTACCGAGCAAATTAAATAGTTGTTAATTTGTATTGTAATGCTAAGCAAACAACAGCTACATTAGAAGTCTGTGTACTCCGCTTCAGTGAGGTTCTGAAGGAAATAGCACTTTCTTTCAAAAGAGCTTCAGCCAAAGAGACCGCAGGGTTCCGTCAGGGTTCCGGGAGGAAGTGTGACCCAGCTCTGGGACTGCCTATCTGGGGAGTCCCCTGTGTTAGCCGCGGTTCGAGTGAAGATGTGCTAAGTGGATTTGAATAATAGACCAGTCTGAACGGACAACCCGTCGACACTGCAATCAACAGACGCGCAATACACATGCCTCAGCAAACACAGAATCTGCATCCTATCAGTGAAATTTGAATCTGGTTGATCATATTATACATGATGTTGTTGTTGTTGTTGTTTTTTGTTTACTGATAATCGTAACAGCACCGGGCATATTCATCTTTGAAAGTCAAGGAAAAAACGATTTTAAAAGGCAAACGAATTGCTACCCGTGTTTGCATCCTCTGTATTTACCTGTGTCTAATTGTAAAAACAAAAAAAAGCTTTTTTCATAAAATCAGAAAGTTCAAACTGCTCAACTCCCTATTTTATAACGAGTGCTAAGGAAGGATGAAAACGAACGCGTGCTTCTTCAGTCCATTCTGAGAGCGCGCGATTGAGCGTTGCCAAAACACGGTCGTTTGTCGGGGTTGTAATTCTCGTTTTTCTCATGGTCTGCGATATTCAGCGGTGGTTCAAATAGAAATTATTCCCTAGAAACGAGTATCTGTGATTTTTCAGGTAAGACCTATTGTTAGATGGGGATTTCCGAACAACAAAAAAAAAAACCCGCTGCATTATTAAAAATATAGAGAACTTGCAGAAATATATCCTCTGACTTGTTGGTTTTTTTTTTAAAGCGCGGTGTTAATAATTACAAACTTCATTTGAATGAGATGAGTACTCAGTGAGCACACACACTTGATTGCCTGGTGCTGTGTTATTATTTTTGTAGCCGCAACATCTGTGTAAACTAGAAAACATAAACTAACAAACCGCAGGGTGTTAAATGCCGGAGGAAGACTCTGCTGGAAACCCTAAACGGAGAAAAATTAGGAAAATTACAATAAGAGGCAACACGGGAAATTATTATTATTATTATTATTATTATTGTAATTATTATTATAATTATAACCGTTGTTATTATTAGTAGTAGTATTTCGGAATCATATCGAGTTTGAAAGAATAGGAATTATTATGAATAGCCGTCTCATGTAAATGGACGTTATGTAGGGAAATAACTGGTTGGCTTTTCCCTGTTTTCAGTTCCAGCGCAGCTTGACTTTTTCCCGGTGTGTTGATGAATGTCCTTCTGTGTTGGTTGCAGGCGGTTCGGCACGAAGTGTGCGGGGTGCGCTCAGGGGATATCGCCGAGTGACCTGGTGCGCCGGGCACGGGGCAAAGTGTTCCACTTGAACTGCTTCACTTGCATGATGTGCAACAAACAGCTCTCCACCGGAGAGGAGCTGTACATCATAGACGAGAACAAGTTCGTCTGCAAGGAAGACTACCTGAGCAACAGCAACAACGCGAAGGAGGCGAACCTGCTCTCAGGTGAGGCGGGTCGGGGCGCGGATCCACCCCAGACAGTCGCGTTCACACCGATTTCTACAGCCGCCGTTTCGCCCCCCTTCGGTTCTGTAGCCTGCGCAATCGTTTAAAAATAAAGTCACGAAACGAAACGTGTCAGTAACTTTGGATTATATTGTATAGCATTTTGTGTATGTTGTGTGTCTATATGCAGGACAAAAATAAATCTGAAATCCTTTGAGATTATAACCGCAATTTTTCCAGTTGCATCCGTAATACAGCACATCATTTTTATTATTATTATTATTATTATTATTATTATTATTATTATTATTATTATTTTGTCACTGTAAAATTTTCTTGGTTTGGGAGAATCTCCTATATTTAAACAGGTTTGATGAAAACATCGTTACAGGCCCATACACGGTGGAACTATGTTATTTGACCATTATAGAACGCTGTTGTATATTAACAAATAATTAAATGCAAGACTTGATAACACTCTGCCTATAAATATATATTAAAATGAGATTATCACTACAGGCCTTTAGTTTCGGTCACAATGGGTACTATCCTGTAACTGATACAGTATTCACTTCAATGCACGAAAAACAGTAAAAATAAATATAAGCTTTTCGTTAATCATAGTTTTCGAAGTTGGTAACTCATATTTAGTGGGAATGAATTCCTAATTCCTTGTAATTCTGACATGGCGGTGTTGTTGTTTATTCTTCGCAGTCACGGCGTGCAGCGACCCCAGCCTGTCCCCGGACTCGCAGGACCAGCTGCAGGACGACGTCAAGGACCTGGAGGGCGCGAACCTGTCGGACAAGGAGACGGGCAACAACGAGAACGACGACCAGAACCTGGGCGGCAAGCGGCGCGGGCCGCGCACCACCATCAAGGCCAAGCAGCTCGAGACCCTGAAGGCCGCGTTCGCCGCCACGCCCAAGCCCACGAGACACATCAGGGAGCAGCTGGCGCAGGAGACCGGCCTCAACATGCGGGTCATCCAGGTACCGTGCTGGCGGCGCGGGGGGTGGGCTGGGATTCCATCATATGAACCGTTTGCGTTTAGATGAAGGTCCGCCTGTTCTGTTGAAAGGAGGCGGTTATTGTTTTAGTGGACATGCAAGGTGAACGAGTTTGTCAGATTTGTGGGGAACAAGTGGGGCTCCATGTTGCTGATTAGCCTGAAATGGCGAGATTTGAGGAAAACCGGGGTGCGCTTGTCCATCCCTTCTTCCCTTGCGCTGAATGCATTATATTAAAAGAAAAGGGCAGCGACTTGCTTTCCGTTGGAGGTAAGAATTGCGGAATTTTGGTGGATTAAACTGAAATGTAAGTAAAATGTGAAATCCGCGTTTCCCGGGGTGAAGAAATGGAAACTTGGAGCAGCTAACCAACCAACTTAGTCGGTGGCGGAGTTGTCGCTCCAGAGGATGAGAGGGAGGGCGAGCTGAGCTGATTTGTTACCGCCGGGTTTACTGCCTCGTGAAAGTCCCGGGACCTGAGCGGTCTGAGAGGGGGGCACGGAGAGGGGTCTTCCCGCGGCGCGAGCTCCTCCAAGCCGGGCGCGGCGCCGGGGGGGGGGGGCTCGCGCTGTCCCCGGCCCGACCCTCGTGCGCGCCTGTAGAGCGGACTGGGGTCGCCGGACGTCAGAGCACACGTCGACCTCAGGAGCAGCGCTCTTGGGGGGGGGTGGTTGTGAAATGCTTTGACGGCGGCGGGAGCCGGACGAGGTGCCGGACTGCCAGCCAGCGCGGAGCTCGCCCGGGCGCCGGCGCTCTTGGCAGAGCCGTGACATCACGTTTCGCGAGAACATTTAGACCCGCTGTGCGAGCGCGCGCTCAAGTGGAAGCGGAGACCTGCTCTCAGCGCCCTGCCCGGAAAGCGAGAGGCAGTGCGGTCGCGTTGACTTCTTCACACCGCGCAAATACACACACACACACGTTAGTTTCTTTCAAATTAATTACTGCAATCGCCTTGTCGGTGTTCCATCCAAGATCTCCAGGCGTCTCGTAAAGTGACACAAAGCGATACACGAAGTCAGGGCTGTTTCCGATCTCGCGTGGGGAGGAAGAGGCCACGATAGAGAGCGAGGCAGAGGTAGAAGAAGGATCTTCCTGCCTGCCTTCGCCGCACAGAGCGGCCGGTCCTGGCGAGGGCAGGGCAGGTGCCCCCGGCTGGAAAACAGCAGCCCTTCCCCGCCGGCAGGGTGACACACAAATACAGCAGCCTAATCGCCAGGCAGCGCTAATGAATGAGGAGCTGCGGGGACGAGCTAATGTATTAATATGAAATGGAACAGAACTGAAGTGAGAGAACGGGCGGCGAGATTAATAGAGTGGCGAGGTTAGATATTTAAGAGCGTCAGGGTAAGGCGTAATTAGGAGAAGGAATTCAAGGGTGGATATATAGATTACGAAATAATAACCTCACAGAGCCGGTTAATATATCGGTAACAACCCTCCTATTAAGTATTAATTGGAGATTTTAAGTCCCTGCTGTAGCCGCCACAGCCGGGGTAAATGGAGGGTTAAAAGATCATTAAAGTGAGGTTAGATCTGAGAGTCTCAGAGTGACGATAATTAGGAGTAATCTTGTCACGGCAATACGAATTCACTCAATCACAGCAGCCCAGCCCCGCAGAGGCCACGCGGGCTCCGAGCGCAGCGCGCGGCGCCGCGAGCGGCCTCCCGCTGCCCCCGCGCTGTCGCCCGGATTAAGATCCGTGTTTCTGGGAACAAGAACAGGACCAGCGACACTAACGACTAGGCGCACAGAGGCAGGCGACGGCGGCGTGATTGTCATTATTGTGAGATATTAATACTGGGTGTGTTTATGGTCTTTGTAATTCGTTGACGTCATATATACTGTATAGACCCACCAAAACAATTTGGAGCATTTGTGTATTACTGTTGATGTGTGTGTGTGTGTTCTGTACTGAAGCCCAGTTCAGGACCCTGATAAATTGCTGTGGCTCACCAGGAGAACATTTTCATGCTGTTACGGGGTTGTTGTTATAATGCTTGTCTAATTGTGCGTGTGTGAAGAAATCGTTTTGGATTGTGTACAATATACCTATACAGCCTCATATATACTGAAATTGATGCTGTTTTGCCCATTTTAAACGCTCAAGCCTCAGAATAAACATCAAATGGAAAGTTTTGCTGTTGATAATATCTTATGAAAAGTTAGCTTGTAAACAAAGTGTTCGGTAATATTTATGTTTTAGCCTGTATTGCAGCGCGCTGATAATGTGGCATATTTCTGTTGTTTTTGTAAGACAAAAACATGTATTCATATTTATTATATTTATTCAAGTGTTATATATATATTAGAGGAAACTGAAACGCTTTAATTCCAGTATGTGAAATGAAAGCTTTCGCTGAAAAATGACATTTCGCCAATGTCCTGAAACAAGCGATCCTTAAAATAGTTTATATATTTTTTTTACCATACAAACCTAATTTTCTTTCTACAATTTTGACTATGGCTGCTTTTCGCTGAGGAAAGTGTTTTTTTTTTCGTGTCTATTCCTGACAAGAAATGCTCGCTGAGGTTTCTGGCCTAAACGGAATTTATCACCGATTCGGCTCAGTAAAATGTTTTTTTTAAAACCACGCTTTAAAAAAAAAAATCAGATAATAGGAGGTAAAGAGTATCTTTGCACTGTAGTAGTACATTTCAAGTTGATCTTTTATTTGCTATTTGTGTATAGAAGTGTGTTTTAATCCAAGAAAAAAATAAAATAGTCTCGTTACGAGGCTGTGGATAGCCTAATGAAATATAACCGGATTACAGGTTAAATATCTTTCTGCACGTATTTTACTGCACAGAAGAAACACGTGTAGTGTATGTGCTGAATGCGGGCCAGGAGAGGGTCTGACCCGTGTCCTCCTGTGCGCAGGTCTGGTTCCAGAACCGGCGGTCCAAGGAGCGGCGCATGAAGCAGCTGAGCGCGCTGGGCGCGAGGCGGCACGCGTTCTTCCGCAGCCCGCGCCGGATGAGGACGCTGGTGGACCGCCTGGAGCCCGGAGAGCTCATCCCCAACGGGCCCTTCTCCTACTACGGAGGTCGGTGTCTTGTTTCTGTTTGCGTTTTCCTCTGGCGCGGAGTGGTCTGAAGTGTTAAATAATTTCGCGTGTGTTCGTCAAGTGCCGCGTCCATCTGTCGGCCCGGCCCCACGGCGCCTTTGAAAACGGGTTCAGGCTTTTACCTGGTGCGGCCACACTTTTAAAACCCCTAGGAAGCGAGATTAAAATGCACCGGGGTTTTTTTTGTTGTTGTTGTTGTTTATTCCTCGACAGGTAACGTCGGCAGTTTTTCTACAACACGTTTCGTGCGCTCAGTTCCCACATTGTGAACTGGAAACGGTTTTCGGGGTTTTTTTTTGTCGTCTAGTTTAGGTTACAAATATTCCTAGGACGGTTCACAGCTGTTATCCTGTTTGTCTAATCTGTTTTTATTTTGTTCCATTGCCTCAGTGATATTCTGTAATATTGAAAGAATATCAAGATACAAAATATTAACGTCAGGAATACGCATATAGCGTCCTGTAACAGCCCCTATCAAAACACGACATCTCTCTAATCTGGATTAATTCGTTTTAGAGTAAATTCCTGCTGGGCGGGGTGGCCGTAGTCGGGGCTACACAGCAAACAGCAAAAATGTTTTTCACCTGCCGGTGTTTCAGATTCGGGAATTTTCAGCGTGAACCTTGTGCGCATATAATTTAGTCAAATATGGTTTTATAATACAGCTATTTGCATTTAGGCCCTTCAGGAAAAAAAAAATAAATAAATCCTCAGATTTGTGAATAAAATGAAACACTGAGACGCAGGCTAGAACAGGGAGTGTATATCGCTGCTGGTTCTCGTCGCGTGAAGTGCGCACGTACGTGCAAATGTGTGTGAATTTGCTTCCAGCAGAGAACAATGGCGAATATTTCATCCTCAGATTCCTTTCGATTCTGCTTAGAGTTTGGGAAAAGGCATGAGTCTGTGATCCCTGGCCAGAACGTTTCGATTAATATGTAACTGAACCATTCCATCCAGGTTGATCAGTTACTGATAAGTAAAGGGGAGGCATTTTCTTGGTACAGGAGCAATGCGACACCTTATACTTTGTGAGCGAGGAAACAGACTCTTTGTGATGCTGTAATAAGTTTTCACTTTATAGACATAACAGGCAGCACTGAGCTGGCAGCATCTGGAGTGATAATAATATGGTATTTGGGGTTTAAAAGCCAGGTGTGTTTTTTTTGGGGGGGAAAAAAAGAAGTGGTCAGCATTGCGTCCGTTCATTTCCAACAGCCTGCTCTTTTGAAACAAGACCTTGCAGTGTCAAACTTCCAATTCTGTTTTATATCCGGAAGTAACACTTTTGTGCACGGCGCACCGTGCGTGGTGGAGGTGCTGACACTCGGTATGAAATCCAATACAATAAAAGCACAATTAAAAAATGTAAAAAAAATAATTGTGTGCAGCTCCCCAGGCCGCTGTGCTGCTTTCGGGATTCCTTGACAATCATTGACTCGCGTGGCTTCGTGTGCTGTGGATCTACAGACCGTGGCCTAGCATTGCGGCATTACAAAGGGGTGTTTTCCCTGCACCGCCGACACCTGTAACTCAGATGCGGCCTCTGCATCGGATGTCTGATATCATCTCCACGGGCGCGGACTGTCCCTTCGGGGGTGAGCTCTCAGGAAGGGACACCCGCAGGCTGAGCACGGCTCTGCTGGACACGCGGAGGACGAGGTGGAAAGACCCACTCCTGAGGAATGCGACGCGCTGCCCCGCCGCCCCGCTGCGCTGCGCTGTGGCAGCTCCCAAGCAGGGGTGACCGAGGGCGGCGGGGCAGCGGGGCAGCGCGTCACATTTCTCAGGAGTGGGTCTTTCCACCTCGTCCTCCGCGTGTCCAGCAGAGCCGTGCTCGGCCTGCAGGTGTCCAGCTGCAGCTGTAAGAAAGGAAATGTGGTGGTGGTGGTGGTGGGGGGCGGCGATCTGGACAGTTGGGACAACCCTTTCCGTCTTTAGACCTCGTCCCCGTGCCCCTGCCCACGGCGGGCTGGCGACGGTACAGGAGCGCTGGAGCACGCGGGCTCCCTGTACAGTACACTGTACCGCTCCC